ATAGGTTTATTGTAACAAAGTTTCTACTATGACATTATATTAATAAAAAAAAAAAAAAAAAAAAAAAAAAATTATCTTAACAATTACTTGATCAAATTTAATAGATTTTTTATTTTATTTTAATTATATAAGTTTAAATAATTTAAATAAAAAATTTTACTAAATTTGATCTAATAATTGTTAAGATATCTTTATTCAAAGATTTAAAAAATTATTTTAATAGATATTTTATGTTTTTTTTAACTTTGAACAAAGATATCTTAATAGCTATTTAACCAAATTTGATGAATTTTTTTTTAATCAAATTAACTAAAATTATATAATCAAAATAAAAAAAAATTATTAAATTTGGTTAGGTAGTTGCTAAAATATTATTACTCAAAGGTTTTGTTTTTAAAAGAATATAATTATTAAATATAGAAATATGAAAATTGATTTTCTAAATAATAATATAAAATATTTAATAAAAAAGAAAATTTTATAAACAATAAAAATAGTTTTAATACTATCTCTTATATTTGTAATTTTTAATTATTACAATTATTATATAGGTATGTTTTTGCTGGTTTGGCACAAAATTATACACATAATAAAAATATGTATAATAAGAATATAGAAGATAATCTACTACTTGTAGAATTAGATTTTTCTAATTCCCACATTTTTTGTAATCTTTCTGCTAATTAAAAAATAATAAATACTTCTAGTTTACAAATTGCAAAAAGAGCTTGCTACAATTACCAAAGAATAAAAAAAAATAAAAAGAGAAAATATTTACAATTTATAAATGGCTCTCTGGTATGTTACCCAAATAAAACAAGAAAGGATTGCAAGGATAGAATCTGTTCCCAGGGCTACCAATAATAATAAACAAGTAGACAAAATGCGAAAATCACAAGACAAAATATTAATTTTAGTTATTTATTATCTTTTTTTTGTATTTATTTTTCGCAGCATACATTTAAATGAATTTATGTGAAATTAAAGTTTTTCTCAAAGCAAAAGAATGCCGCTAAACATTCAAATTGTTTATTAGAATTGACAATCTTGTAAATTACTGTACATTTTCTAATGAATTAATAAATATTTAAGATTCATAATTAATTATTTTTAAAGTTTGACATTATAATATTTTGAATTCAATTTTCATGAAAGTATTTGGTGATTATCGCTGTTTTCGAAATGGTTGAGAATAGTGAGCTTTACAAAAAAAATTTTTTTATGCGAATACCTGAAAATCCGAAAACCCGAATAGTTCAGAACACTGATCGATAATCGATTCCGATTTACATATGTTCTAAACTAATCGGGTTTTCGGGTATTCGCATAAAAAAATTTTCTTTTGTAAATCTTGCTATTCTCAACCATTTCGAAAACAGCGATAAAAAACGTAACATAAAAATTTTTGGCAATTTTTGACAATAATAACTGCGAATATATTCGCTCTTAGATACGGTAATTAATAACCTATTATTGATTTTTTTTTTTTTTTTGTGGCGACGGCGTAATTTACTCCGCCAAATCAGACATTATTTACAGCATCCAATCAGAAGTGGTGGGGGAAATTAGGACATTCTGGCTATTGTTTAACATGATACGGTGTGATATTATTAGCTTAATAATACTATTAAAAATTTACTACTTCCGGCTGTGATTTCTAAGTCCCGGCATCTCCAGAAAAGAAGTAGGTTACATTACCCGGAAATTTTATACACTGTCAAACAAAATCCTTTGTTCTATAGATTGATTTCGAACTCAATTTGAACACAATGAGTTTTACACTATAAAATCGATTCTCTTTATTTCAAAATGTAGCGATTTACTAAATTTCTATACCGGATTCTATAACAAATTTCTTTAAAAAAAGTTAGTTATCGTGTATATCCAAAGTTGAATGTATAATTACATTCATGTAATTAAAAAAACTCGTGTTTAAATGGATCTGGTTCGATATCTTTAATTTTGACCGTAATTATAGTTACGATTGAAATTAGAATCTTGAATAAAAGTTGATATGATTTGACTTTCAGTTTGTAAAAGAGGATGTTCGGCAACACTAAATAAATAAATATTATAAAGATATTTTTAATACAAATTGATTGTGCCTCATAACAATTAATTGTAAAAAAAAAACTTACGTCTGTAAAAATCTTTCAAATCCCTCTCTACGAACTTCAATGACTCTTTCTGAAAAACGATTAAAGAATACTTTTCCAGGTAAAGGAGGAATATTCGCGCCGGATGACCTCTTTTTAAGAGCTTTATAAATCCATTCAAAATCACTGTATCTTCTTCTAACGGATGATCGTCTTAGTCGAAAAGTTGGAATATTCGTCTAAAATTAAATAGACAAATAGAAAGATTACTCTATATATCTATAAACAACAACACTGAAAAAGAAAATCTCGCATTGATAAATAAAAATAATTTGGGGGTGAGTCAATAGAAATCAAGCAAATTTTTTATAATAAAAATTTTTTATAACTTTAAGCAAGAATAATTTAAC